TACTTTATCCAGCAAAGCTTGATAATAAAATAATGATTTACACAGGAAAAACAGAAAACATATTTAGTAAGAACACTTTACAGAATACAAACAAGGACTATACTATAAACTGTTATATATACAGTTTTTTAAAGACATAAAATATCCAGACTTTTGTCACTAGGCTTTAATCACTAAACACCTTATATGCCAAAGAGGGGAAACTGTGTCCTATTAAATAAAATGGATCCTAACCAGGCTTAAATCTCAATCTCTAAATGGATGCTCAAAAAAAAATTGGAACCAATTTCTCTATTCAAACAGTGCATCAATAGGATAGGATCAATGCATAAAAATAGGAGAGATGTTTTTAACCTGTGGATTACAAAGTAAACAGAATTATAATTTTCAAATCAATGAGCAAATCTTTTAAATAATAAGGCTAAAAGTTGGTATAGTCTTTCAGTATTCATAGTACCTGGAGAGAATCTGGTTTTAAGTTGGATGAAAAGGAAACCTCTCTCACGACACAAACGTATGGTGATGATCAGGATCAATGGTGAAGATTATTCATCCCGACTCGTAACTCCCTGCTGTCTCTTTTCCCTTTTCCTGTGTTTATCCTCACGGAGTCTGTACCCATTGTGTATGCCAGTTAATCTAAAGACAAAAATTGTTTTCATGTAAAGATATTTTTGTGATTTAAAATGGGCTCTATTTGGAGAGAAATGCAATGGAGTCCAATGCATTTTGAACATGGTTTTATTTATTATTTTCATTGAAAGAAAATTACATTATAATATAATGAGATACATTTATTTATGTTTTAATGTTTCTGAGTCTAAACTACTAGGGGTTTCGGAATTGATTTAATGAGTTTTGTGTCTCTAGTTAGCATCCATCTTCGGGGCTCTGTGTGATCATAGGTGTAAACATCAGGCTGTTGTCAGATGGTAATTTAAAGTTATATCCTACGTGTATGCTGTTTGTAGATAATTTGTGTAGTAACATGTTTTACTAATGCTTTTTAAATATCAAATGTCATATCCTTATAATTTTACTGCTAATTTGTAGATCATTGGAGACTAGCACTACTGCTGTAAGTGCTTCCTATGGTCTGATCTTGGGGGGGCTTAAATTTCTATACAATTTTTCATCCCAAAGTGTCCCACAGCACTGTTACAAATAGTACCACTGAAGTGCACCTACCTCACTAATGTAAATTGTTTAATACTATACAGTAGTGTCACAGCATCTGCAAATGTAACATTCACAAATTCATTTATTTGCAATTCCTTTCAAGACCTCGACAGGCCGACAGGCCTGCCCAAGTACCCACTACCCAGTACCCACATTTCAACGTGGTCTTGTTTTTATATTACAATGAACATGCAAATGTGAATTTTACTATTCATTATGTTTTTTTTACACCTACTGCAAGATCATACTGTATACATGTTTTGGGTTAAATTGTAGATCTCTTTGGATTGTATGTAGCTCATGTGTTTTGCTTTTACATCTAGTTGGTGTGTCTTGCTCAATACCAACTCCCAGCTACTGCAAATTATCAGTTACAGTCATGTGAAAAAGAAAGTATACCCTCTTTCAATTCAATGGTTTTACATATCAGGGCATAAACAACAATCTTTTGGTCACCAACTTCTATAAGCAGACAAATTTAGCCTCAGATAACAGACAATACATAACAGATTTCACTATGTCATTACTTATTCAACACAAAGTAAGCCGAAATGCAGAAAACATGTGGGAAACATTAAGTACACCCTTACTGCTTCCATAGGAATTAAGAAGCTAATTAGCAGCCAGGTGCTGCTTATCAAATGCACTTGATTAGTTGATCATCAGAAAGTATGACCACCTCTATAAAAGCAGTACCTTTGGCAGTTTGGTGGTCTGGAGCATTCAGGTTTGTGTTAACAGCATGCCAAGGAGAAAAGACATCAGCAATGAACTCAGAGAAGCAATTGTTGCTGCTCATCAATCTGGGAAGGGTTATAAGGAAATTTCCAAACAATTTGAAACCCATCATTCTACAGTGAGAAGCATTATTTACATTCAAGAATGGAGAACATTCAAGACAGTTGCCAATCTTCCCAGGAGTGGATGTCCCAGCAAATTCACCTCAAGATCAGACCATATAATGCTCAGAGAAATCGCAGAGAACCCAAGAGCTACATCTAGGGATCTACAGGCCTCGGTTAACATGTTAAATGTTAAAATTAATGACAGTACGATCGGAAAAAGACTGAACAAATATGGCTTTCATGGAAGGGTAGCCAGGAGAAAGCCCCTTTCTTTCCAAAAAGAAACATGGCAGCACGGCTTAGGTGTGCAAAGCTGTATCTGAACAAACCACAAGATTTCTGGGACATTGTCCTTTGGTCAGACGAGACCAAAGTAGAGATGTTTGGTCATTATGCACAAGGCCATGTTTGGCGAAAACCAAACACAGCGTATCACCACAAACACCTCATACCAACCGTCAAGCACAGTGCTGTGCGGCTTGTTTTGTTCATGTGGGTTTCCTCCTGGTGCTCCGTTTACCCCCAACAGTCATACAGGTAGTTGAATTGGTTTTCAAATAAAATTGGCCAGTTGTCAGTTTGTGTCTGTTTGTGCCCTGCAATGAACTGGCGTCCCATCCGGAGCATATCCTGCTTTGTGGCCTTTGCTTAGGCTCTGGCTTCTGCCAAAGTGGGTTAAAAAAGGGATGGATGTATAAACACTGTGATAAGCCCATGGTGCTAACAAATCAGCTATTTATAAACTGGACTAGAACCTTCTTTTCATGACACAAATGACTGAATTAAAGTGTTAATACAGTATGTACCCTATGCATAATTTATATTTAGAACCTTTCTGGTTGTTTAATATTAAATACTTCCTGTGAGTGTTTTATAAAAATTTACAAGTTAGGCACACTAAAACAAAGGTAAATTAATGTCATCCAATTTTTAGGTATGCACTTTTTAGAATTGGGTAATTTAAAAACCTGTTCTTCAAGCTGTTTTACATCAAGATGATTAAACAGATGTGTCCCCTCTAGCAGCTCAAGACCCCTGATCTAGTTCCAACATTAGGAATACTGGAATTGAAGGAATTAAATGCATTACTGGACAACATTTTTTTAAAACCAGACCAAGTCAGCTGCTGGTGCATTTTAATAATTGTGTGCTTTGAAAAATAAACATGAATGTGAACTTGTTTTTGTATCTGAACAGGTTAGATCAGAGATTAACTGTTGACAAGCTATAAAGCTTGCCTCATACGAGTCTTGTCATGGTTGTATCAAAATCCATTTCAGTCCATCCCTTTCAGTTTTTAACTCAGCTCTAAAAATGATTACAGAATCACAGAATCCTCTTCCTACTTGAGTCTCACACTATAGACAATACATTAAAGAGCAATCTGTTTACAGCATAATTGCATTGTAACTGATTAAAGTCATGAAACCTCCACCAATAATCTCACACATGTGTGGCCAAAATATACAGTATTGTTATTATATATACAGTATATAGATTCATAAATTAAACATATTTTCAACAACAGAGTGGAAGTGAATGATTTGTCCCTAACAACATGTAAAATATTGAAAAAATGAAGATTTTTCATTGTGAATGCAAATGTCTTTCTGTGAGTGCCTTCACTGGAGCTTATGAAAAGAGGAACACATTCCATCTTGTAAATATCTATAAAAACACATCAAGAAAATAGATGACAAGAACAAAATTGATGATGGTAGTGACAAAAAAATATACTATTACCTGGGTCAGAAACCCAGGACTGCCGAATTGCTTGGCTCTTTAAATCCTGTTCCTACTTCTACCACTATTATCTATAATAGTTTTCTGCTATTTTTCAATGTATTAGAAGTAACAGTTCTTACATACCTATAATTCTGACTGCTGGTATACAGTATATGATATATAGTATATTAGATTTGTTTCTTTATATTCTTAATGTTTCTTGTGTACAGTATGGTTCAGAAAATATGTCCCTATCTTGAAGGTGATAGTGTCTTATAAAGATAATCAGGTACAGTAAGATTCTGTAGTGAAGACATATGTAACAGCTCAACTGTTCAGCTAAGGAAAGACTAAAAGTGAAGTCTGATGTGCTGTTAATGAATGGTTTTGAAATGCAGAAATTTACATTCATTTCTTCTATATACTGTATGTATTGGATATGCATTTGCAACAAAAAACTATTTTGTTTTCTGAAAGGAAACGCTTGATTTTTAAAAATGTTTCATTGTGACAAGTCTAAAACAAAATAGTTATGTTCATTACAAAAGCAAACACACTTAGAATATAATGCATGTTAAGGTTTTTAAAATGCTGCCTGTTTCAAAGGAACAGTTACAGAAGCTTTACAAAAACCTGTCTTTCAGTAGAGCAATTAGCTAGTTTCCGACATGTTCATGAGAGATTTACAGTGTGCCGTGACCTCACATGGCACATCTTCTCTTCATTTTTGGGCAGCATATGTGACTGCCTGGTGGGAAGTTGGTACCAAACCAGAGTGCTCAAAAGATTGTGGAGGGGGAACCAGTTCACTGACTATAGGCTGTAATCTTTTCTGAAGCTTAAACTTCTTAACCTCCTTTGATTTGTATGTTATGACATATATGAATATCCTCCTCTTATCTTGTATTATATATAATAATGATTTTGTCTAAGGTTTATCCTTTAATTGTCTACTCTGTTCACATTCTCTCCCTGTTATTATCTCCACAAAGTTAACTAAACCATGCCAATTATTCACATACTGTATTTTCTGTGCATTATGTGATTTTTTTTACTAGAATCAGAGCACAACACCTTCTCAGAATAGGTTATGTCTGGTCATGAGGTCACAATGTGATGAGACAGGCTGTACTCAGAAACCATTAGATGAATTAAGAGAATTACCAAGCTTTAGACTCTTAATTGAGATTATCCTGTTCTCTTCCACATGGCCGTGTGCTGATTAAACCTGTGTCTCTCTTTTAATCTCAGGGTTTGTAGGTGAAAATGCTCCACCAATCTCAGAGAACAACGTGGGCAACCGGATGCTACAGAGCATGGGCTGGACTCCAGGCATGGGGTTGGGCCCAGATGGGAAAGGGATCGCAGAGCCAATCAGAGCGCTGCAGAGGCCGAAAGGGGCTGGACTTGGGTTTAACTGAGAATCCTTGCTGTCTTGGCTAAATGTCACTATGGATCATAAAGATCGGATAAAACAGACTGCACTCTTACCACCCACCATCACCTGTGTTGTGGAAACCAACAGCAACAGTCTTAGATCATGCTAATCTAAGGAACTAAAACTAGATAATCCCTGATTTGGGAAATATCAGTTCATTGCAGAAGGTGAATATACTTGTGGTATACCATGGTTAATTAGAAGTGAACTGTAACAAGGCATCGGAAAATTATGGTAAATCCTAGAGCAATTAGGTCTGATCATATTTGACACAGAATGTAGAAAATAGTGATACAACAAAGAAAATAGGTGGGATAAGTATTGGAGAGCCATGATAATACTACAAAAACATCACGATTAACTTTCACAAGTGTGTGCACTTCAGGATTGAAATCCTCAAAGGATGACTAGTGGACTGCCACAAAAGTTGATTCAGCCTGTTGGAGCTTTGTACTGTACTTTACAAGAATGGTAGTCATAGCAGCTAATTAAACACTCCATAATACAGTACTTCTGTAAGTGTACCTTGTTTCAAACTGATGTTGGTTAACTTCAATATGCTGGCAGTTTAATTGCACTATAGTTGTAGAGGAAAATGTTGATTTCATTATAAATTGGCAGAATGATTGTTTTTTTATTACATTTTGTAACCTGGAGTAAATTACCTTCAGTATATAAAAATATACTAGCTGACAGTCCCTACTGTACCTGTTTACCCTCTTTTTATAATACTTTTCATACATTTTTTACTATAATTTGCTTTTAGAAAATGGTACCCTTTTTACAATTTTAACATGCAAATGTTAGTTTTCCAAAAGAACAGTATATTTGAAAGTCTTCATTATATGACTCTGAAGTGTCACTTTTGCTGTTCACTCACAAGCAGACAGTATAAACCTAAATCAGAAGTTGGATACTTAACGGCCAAATGGCTGCCCTGTGGAGGAAGTTATTTTTGCAAATTATTGTTTTTCAGTTTAAAGTTTTGAAAAATTTGTTTTAATTATAATGACTCTTGGGATACAATCAGGCATCTTTTCTGCTCAGGCCTGTACTATGGCGGTTAGACTGTAGTCTCTCAGTATCAGTGTTTTTCAAACTCTTTTGAGACTGATACATGGGTGCTGATCATTCAAAGCCTCAGATGTACAGTAAGTAATGATATTCAGTTGTGTTCGGAGTTAGCTTTAAGACTTCAATGTGTAGAAAGAAGAAATGCCAGTGGAGAACAGGAACTGTTTAAGCCCTGTACCCGCTAGGTGCATTGGGTGTTCCTGCCACACATGAAGTTTACTGTCATAACTATTTTCTGTTATCATCCACACCATATGGCTTGCTCAGAGAGGGGCAGTTGCAGTTTACCTTAGTAAAAATATTTTCTCTTTGAAAGCAGGCAGAAAAAAGTGTGTTTTAAGGAAGTCCAGATTGTTCTTCCAGCGCACAAAAACACAAAAAAATAGATGAAAAGAAATAACCCTTGCGTAATTTTATATCTCATATTTACAGTATCAGCTAATGTAGTCCTAAAACATTGCTGTTCAGTGTGCTGCCTTGTTCCTTTTTAAAACTTATAATTAACCTTAATTGTATTTTGGTAGCACAATACTTCTTCCTACACTACACAGTTGAGTAGTATTTTTATTTCAAATTACAACAGGACATAATCATCAGGTAAAGAATTTCAAAAAGATATTTTCAAAACATATCAAAGACTGTGTAGGCTGTCTTACTAATAGAAAAGTGGTGTGCTACTGGCTGACAGTTTCTGATTCATGCCATTTGTGCTTCTTGACAGTTCTGACATTTAATTAAACAGACTTTGGAAGCTGCAATAGAGTCAGTTACAAATGGTTTAGTTATATCAGTTTAAGTGTGCATCTACTTAAACTGGAACTTTGACAGGAAAATGTGGCTTGAACATTGCTGCTTCCAACCTGCTGTATATGCACCACACAATGAAAACACCAAAAACAAGTATAATCCAGAGTATAATATGGCCCCTGAAATCCACATCTTAAAAAGAGGTCTTCAGGTTTCTTAGTACAAAGTTCACTTTGACTATACTACATAGAATGAGTCTATCTTCTTCCATAACAGTGGAAATATTAAATTGGGCATTAAATAGACAATTGGATGTAATAATCCATACCATACTCTTTCTATATACTCTCAGGACACAGTATGTCATATTTTTAGAGCAGATTATCAAACCTACATAGATTCTGGAATTTTATTTGTTTTATTTTTTAACATTGTAATGTGCACTCTACTTTTTTTAGGTCTTGCTTGTTGGATAATAAAGGCCTTGTTATTAAACATATTGTAACTGGAGACAACTTTGTAATTGAACTTAAGAAAATTTTAAGTATTACCTTGTTACAACATGTTTGACAGTGACACGACAACAGAAGATTTCATGTACAGTATGCTTCTTCAGAATTTGAATGTTAGTGCACATGTTGTTTGGAAATTAAGGTTTTCCTGAAGGACTGTCTTGTGAAATACTAGCAATGTGTGTAAAACAAATGTTGAAAGAAAAATGCTTTGATTTTCTTTAAAGGAACTGATTAAAAGCAGCAGGCCCTTGGTTGGTGTGCTTCCTTGTGGAAATCAGGTCTACTTTATAACTGAATAAATCATGAAGAAAATATGCCCTGCCTCCTTTATTTTAATATTTTTTGTCTTGGTGTGCAAATCATTTATACCATGTTCTGCCCAGAGAATGTCACGAGCATTCTTCTGTGATTCATTTATGTAAGTTGTTAGGAGGGATAGAAATATAGATGATGTCTACGGGTCTCAGAATGTCAGCAAATATTCATGAGCCATATTTGTATTTCGTCATCCTCCACAGCCAGTGATTGATGACATTTGACTTTAAAAGTTAAAAACATTGTTCATTCACAACAGCAGTTCAATTAAGCACAAAATTCTAGGTCAGATGTTAGCGATGTGGCCAGAGGCGGGTTCTTAAAATACCTTTACCTTCCATATCTGTGCTATTATTTAATTAATTATTATACTTCAGACTTCTAACTGGGTGACCTTAACTCATTCTAAAGATATTTTGAGGACTTCTGTTCACATTTTGTAGGCTTAAAACAAGGAAAGCTACTAACAAATAGAAAAAGTGATCAGAATGTCATTCATTTTACAAAATGAACATAAAATGTGGATGAAGAGTTGTGTTGTACCTTTCATTTTGTACTCCAACCTATCTGTAGGCCTATTGGAATTTTGTATACAGTATATCAATAGGCATATATTGTGCCAGTTTAATTAAAGTGTAGTCGATGGCAGCATCTCTCAATGTATATACTTTGTAAAAAGTAGTGATTATTGATTTATTCCAATGGATTACCCTCTGTTATTTTTGTTGAGTACAAATCTAGTTTATCTAATTCAGACCAGAAATGAACACAATTCATTTTAAAGACAGGTACATGCACTCATAACAAGACAATGCATAGCTGTTTAAACAAGCACTTGGGTTTTGAAGAATTTTGAAATCCAGTGTTTCCTAAATTAAGTTTCTTAAAAGAATGTCCCCCTAGTATTTTCAGCATGTAATGTAAAAAACTCTTTTTAGCAGTCTAATTTATCAGGTTGAACAATATTGCAGCTTCTGATTTTTTTAACCTTGATAGCAACACATTTTTTATCATTTTTAACATTGTAGTGTTTAGGTGTTCTGCATAAAAGCAGTTGGACAAGGCTGGTTTCAACATTGCTAAATTTATTAAGTGAGCTCTTTGCAAGAGTTCCCCTTTAAAAGTTTTAAAGAGCATTACTGTGTGATGAAGCAGGGAGCAGCTGTCCCCTCTTCCAAGTCAGATCTGCATATGTCACCCTGCAAGCAGGTGTGGTGAAGAAAAATTGTGCCTCATATTCCATTATTTACCGCTATTAATCACCTGTCACTCTGAGATACAACAGGATAGACTTGGCTCTAAATTCTTTGAGATAATAAAAAGGGGGGTATAAATTATCCCACTGAAAAGGTAATGTATTTTGTTTTTATTGCTTTAGTATACACTTATGTTTTTATGAGTCCCATCATCAGAAATGAAACTAATTTTTAACTCGTATACAATGATTCCTTGTGCCAATTTTATTTTTTATTTGTGTTAAGTGCTTTCTTGTGGCAGCGTTGTGGAGGTGCTCAGCTTCCACAGCAATCTCTTTGTGCTTAAAAAGCCAGGCAGCACGGAAGGATGGAGTTGAGATTTATCTGAACCATGAGGTAGTTGTTTTGCATTATTAACTCCTGTACAAAGCAGTAACATACAGGGTGTCCTTCTTCACACAAACTGGCCTTCTTATCTTTTCTGAATAGGATATACTGATATAAAGTATGTAGTGAAATAGCGATATATACTGTATATGAATAGCGAGTTTTAGTTTTAAATGTAAAAAAGCATGTGGTTTTACATTTTAATTTTTCACAATTTTTATGTGTTCTGCAAAATTTCATTGCTAATGTTCACAGAGCTAAAAAATTAGCAGGATTGGTCCATGGCCTGCTAATTCCAGCATTCTGCAGAACAGAATGGGAATGCAGTCTAAGTACAGTATGTGTCCATCAGTAAATAAGACTTGTCTCTCCTTTATACTGTATCTCTTCTCACTCAGCCCTGAAATGTGTGTATATGGGTATTCACATTAAAACAAATGATTAGAACACAGATGTGGAACTGTCCGGAATACTTCTGTTTCCACTTTTTGTGATGTCAAAGCTAGAAGTCAGATACTGTAGCTTATTAGGGCTCTTTGTCTTCTTTGTCTTCTGTCCAGTCAAATAGTTGAATGTATCGTCCATGGAACAGTTCTTAGGTCTAAGATGTCTTGTTTTAAGAGCGTGTTATTTGTAATGTTATTCTGATCATCTTTAATAAGGGAGAAACAGCTGTCCTTGGCTGCTGATTTGACTTTATATACTGTACACTATGCAAATAGCAGAATTAGGAGACTCTAGATGTTTTCATATTCTCAGAATTGTGAAACAACATGAACTAATATTAATTTCCTTAATTCATAGTAACTACATGTGCTTAACATGAACATGAGTTGCTACATATTTTTATAGGTTGCATATAGTGCAACTGTAACTCTGCATATAGTGTAACTGTAAAAATGACATAGACACAAACATGCCTGTATCTGGTAGCTCATAGCAAAGCCTGATGCAGATGCTCACATATTAAGCTAATATATGTGGAATTGGAAGTGGACACATGTGGTGAAATTTGGGTAGACCAATTTTGTTTTTCATATGGCAGTGTTCTGCATTTATTCTAGACTGCTCAGCATGAAAAATGGAACTCAAAAGTGGAAACAACATTAATGAATCAGAAGAAAGGCCCATAATTTGAAATGCAACAAGTGTTAAGTCATAAATGTGTGATACACACAAGTTTGTAATCAGAAACCTTGCACAGGAAAATGCACACACAGAAAACAAAAATGTTTGACTCAAAGTTCCTTTGCAATGACAACTATCATAATAATAATAATAATAATAATAATAATAATCATAACCATAATAAAATTACAACTACCAAAAGAAAATCATATATTTTTACACTAAAATTAAATTTGACAAAACACCTGCTACACACTAAATGCAATAATTTATTTGCTTTGAATGTCCCTGTGATCAAACACAGCAGAAAGCAACAGACTTTGTGAGCCCAGTACGATACCCATGAAAAGGCATATAAATGCCTGTGTTTTACTGTCCCTCTCATAATAATCAGCTGTGCATAGTTGATGAGCCTGGAGATGAGTCTACAAAAATTAGCCTAGAGAGATTTGGCATTCTGTTGGAACTTCAAGTTTTAACCACTCATTTATTTTACTGATTTGCTGTAATAGATATGCAACTGACAAGTGGACCATGAACGCTCCTTCTGCTAGTCTCCGACTGAGAGAAGGCTCATTTACTTTGCACACCTGACATACTTGGTGTGTTTTTTTTTCTTCTTCTGGCCAGTGAGCATTATTTCAATGGAACTTCATAAGTCTGAATACTGTATATAGAAACACTTCAGCTTACTTTTGGCTGTTGCCTTTTCTTCATTAATGCCAGGCTTACCTTTAACCTTATTGTTCCTCTGTGAAAAATGAGGTAATGACGTGCTTAATTTCTTAAGAAGCACACAATAATTCACATTGCAAGTTTAAATAAGTCCAGTTTACAACTAACAGAAACAATTATTAAAAACCTATTATTATGTAACTGTATTCATTTATTCATTTAGGAATAAATAAATCTATGGGAGAGATATTTTGGGGTGACTGTAAATTAATATTTCTTTGAAACTTGTGAATAACATATGGCAACCCTCTATCAATAACCATTGATTATGTGCCAGGTAATGTCCTGTAGTTATTATCAGTAAGACACTGAGGCCCTATATTTACTAAATACTAGTTAAGGATTAGTCTTACTTATGAAAACGAATTAGGTGTTTATGGTTACGAATTATTAACATCTTATAGACAGTGCTTAGAACAAATAGAAAAGGTATATTAGGATATACTGTATAAAAATAATTTTACATCAATAATGTTCAATTATGGCAGCTTGGTGGTGCAGTGTTTAGCTGGGGCACTGGGTTCAGTTCTGGACCTGGGGTGCTATCTGCTTGGAGTTTTTTACTGTATGTTCTCCCCTTGTCTTTGTGGCTTTCTTCCAGGTGCTCATAAGACATACTGTTAGGTTAACTGGCTTCTAGGAAAACTGTCCCTAGTGTGACTGTGTGCATGCGTGCCATCCAGGGTGTACCCTACATTATGCTCCTTGAATTGGATGAAGTGGTTAGAAAATGGATGGATGCTAAAATAGACAGTGCACTAATAAGACTACATTTAGAGTATGGTGTACAAAATAGCACTTCACAAAAATGCAGTTAAGTCCAGAGATGAGCAACTAGATACATTCTCTGTCTTAAAGAAATGTACTACACTGACAGACTAAAAGAAATTAATCATTTTGGTGTTAAGCAGAAAGGACTACTGGAGGACCTGATCCAAGTATTAAAAGTCAAATCAGTGGATTTCTTCAGAATTAACAGCAAACCAGAGGACACCTGTAAAAAGTATGTGGAAGTGCATTTAAGACTAAGAACAGGGGACACTTCTTTTTACACAAAGACCTGTGGGAGTATTGAAAAAGGTTTCTTTGTAGTCTTTGTCACACATACCTGTACCTCCATCTCTCTTACCACACTTACAGAAGCATTTTCTAAAGAGTTAATGATTCGCTCTTTGTTTTCATATTGTGATGTGCACAACAATATCATTTTATCACTAGTATTTGATTTTAATGGAGTTTTTAATGAAAGTTCGGGAGGAATTAAGGCAGCCGCGCTCATTCAACACAGCTGCTGCAATTCTCACTAATCCTGACGTAAGCAACTGGTCTCCATATATATCAAACGTCACCCTCTCCTCTTCTCGTTCGTTTTCTGCATGGTTCGTTTCTGCCTAGCTCGAATCCATGCTCCCTTCTCATGGATCTACAAATCCGCCGCTCCGATGAAGACCTTTTCTGCAGCGCAGTAGACTCTCCTACCCCTCTCGTCCAGTCCTCCCCCCACTGCTCCCCTCACCTCCGTCTCATCGCTTCCTTCAGCCGCCGTGCCACATCAGCGCCGCTCATCTCCCAGCCAGTCCTCACAAGATCCAACTCCTCGTCGAAGACTGCGTTCCGCCATCATAGTCCCTCTCTCATTACAAACCCAGCCTTCCCGTTCCTCCATGGCAAAGTCTCCAAATAAACCCCGCTTCTCCCGAGGATGTCCCTGCCGCCACGCTTCACGCACATCGGTTCCCCCTTCTGGATCATCCCTCGCGATTTCCAACTGGACCGTAGCAACCCTCCAGAGGATACTTCGAAAACATGGCATCCAATTTAAAAGAAATGCTTCCAAAAAAGCTCTGTTTTCCCTGTACTTAACCGCAGTCTACACAAAGGAAACATCAGCTCCACAGCTTCCCCCGGCGCCCTCTGATGACATCACCCGCGCCGCCGCCACTCATCCCAACATGAGGACCCTAGCCTCTTCCACCCAGCCTCCTTCCCTAAACTCCTTGCTTCCAAGTCTAAGGCCCCAGGCTCACGCCCCTCCCCCACCCCCTTCTCTGCTTAATCTAATTTCTGCACTCCCTTCTGTCTCTACCTCCGGCGTCCAACACGGCTCAAGCTCCGCCAGCTTGGTGCCTTCGGCCCCGGTTTCTTTCCTTTCCGCACCTAGTGCTGTCTCCACGGCCCAAAGGCCAGCTAGTAAATGGCCCCCAGCTCAGCCAGCAGGCGGCCCTTACCCTCCCCCACCCCCTGGCATCCAAGATGACTCGGCAGCCTCCTCAGTCCTTCACGCAGCCTTCGCCCCTGCTTCAATTCCTCCTCAACAGTCTTCGGCTTCCATATCCCAAGCCACCGAGCTTCAGGCCCCAGATCCGTCTAACCCCTCCTACCACAATCTGCTTTCTGCTCTTCTTCCCTCCTCATCTTCTCCCTTCCCCAGTGTCCAACACAGCATCCATCATCCCATGCTTTCGGCCCTGGATTCCAATCTCCCCTTTACTAAGGACTTTCCTCTCCGAACAGCCATTCCTCTCCCAGCTCCTCCTAACACACTAAAGTTTAGTCCTCCTCCCATTCCCTTTTCACCCTGGCAGCAAATTCTATGAGGTGTGGACGTCAGTCTAGCTCACCTTCTCTCTTCCTCCACTTTCAACTCCGATTCTAGAACAGTCGACTGCGGCTCGATTTCCGTTGCTCTCAAATCTTCTGACCCTCACTCTGCTTCAGTCCTCCAAATTTCTGACTTCTGCTTGGCTTTCAGCATTTTCCGTGACATCACGTGCTCCGCCTTTCCCAAACTTTGTCAGGAACTCGACGATTACATGCACAGCATCCCAGATCTATCTCTCCTTTTCGAGTGCTCTCGGCCAAGGCCGATGCCCGCCTACTCCAATGGAACCAGCGCACCTACTGGGGAGCCCTCGACATTGAGCTTTACTGCCACACTTTCACTGGCGTCCGAGCTCTTTCCTGCGACTTCTGTTCCTCTTGGACACATTCATCAAATCTTTGCCCAGATACCGTCCGCAAGTTCAACCCTGACTCCACCCCTGCGGCCGCCCCATAGTGATGATCAGAGGCCAACAAATTTCCAACATCTTCAATTCCTCGACATGTACCTCTCCCCTTCATCGCTTCCTTCAAATTTGCAGCTTCTGCGGCGAAGCTCATGCTCGCTCTGCCTGCCTCCGCCGGCCCTTCCATGCTCGCTCCACCTTCAGCGTTCCCAAATGACTACTGACTTTTCTGTCTACCCCAATCGACATCCCCACTCTTGCTTCCGACCTGCTCCGTCACCCCGACCCCTCTTCCACCCACATCTTACTTGACGGCCTTTCCTTCAGATTCTCACCAGGCCTGTGCACACCTCCTTCTTCCTCCGTCTTTTGCAAAAATTTGCAATCTGCCACCGCTGATCCCCAGTTCGTTGATTCCTTGCTAGCATCCGAAGTCGAGAATGGTTTCATGATCGGCCCACATGACTCTCCCCCATTCCCTGCATACCGCATCAATCCCATTAGTATAGCAGTCCGTAAGTATTCCGGTAAAAAAAAAAACACCTTATAATTGACTTGTCAGCCCCTCATAATTCCCGCGTGCCAAGTCTCAATAGCCTTATTCACAGCTCAGACTTCTCCCTCCACTATGCCACAATTGACCACGCCATTTCTTTCCTCAGAATTGCAGGTCCGGGTGCCTGGCTCGCTAAGGCTGACATCTCCAGTGCCTTTAAAGATATGCCTCTTGACCCAAACTTCTGGCACCTCTTTGGAGTTCATTGGTGGAACAAGTTCTTCGCAGTCCGCCTTACCTTCGGATGTAGCAGTAGCCCAAAAGTGTCCGGTACCTTAGCCGAAGCTCTCTGCTGGATCCCCTTGAATAACTATTAGCTTCCTTTTCTCATCCACCTTCTCGACGATTTCCTTACCATAGACTTTCCTCACACCTCACCTGCAAGAGCCTCCTCCACACTTATTTCCGTTTTTAGGAAACTAAGGGTACCTCTTTCCACGGACAAAACAACTGGCCCCTCTCGTATAATCCAATTCCTCGGGATCACCCTCAATTCCATCAATTTCTCCGCCTCCCTGCCTCGCAACAAGATTGACAGGATCCAGATGTACAGTGCCTTGCGAAAGTATTCGGCCCCCTTGAACTTTTCAACCTTTTGCCACATTTCAGGCTTCAAACATAAAGATATAAATTTTTTATTTTATGTG